CCATCCTACTGAGATCTGCTCAAAAGGTGTCTCAAAAATTCAGAGCAATTCCCAGCTCTGCATGGGGTCTCAGCTGCCGTTCTGGCCTCCTCCCATGTCAGAAATGAAACGCCTCCTCTCATTACTCCGCTGCTGTCAGTCCCATCACGGCACCTGCAGCCCACAGTCCCGACACCTTCCCTGCCAAGTGAGGCTTGTCTCTGTGGTGTGAACCCTGGGTCCATGTCTTGTCACTGCGGCAGCAGGCCATGGGGAGTCAAGCGGCAACAGGCCATGGGGAGCGCCAGGTGCACTCAGGTTCCCCAGTGAATTGATCCAATCAGGGAGGTTTCCATGGCTACCACGTGCCCCTGGAGACTCCACTCGACTCCTGCCAAATGCCTAAGTTGACTGGTCAGGGCTGCCTCAAGCCCAGCTCAGAATCTTGCACATGCTATAGACACACATTCTTCTATCGCTAAGGCCAGGGTGCTTTACATTTCGATGAATTAATACAATCATTTTCACAGAATGGGAAGTTACACAGAGATCTGACACGGAGTTACATGGCAGGGTGTGCGGCCAGGGATGTTCCCAGGATCCACCGAGGCCCCCGATCTGCCGACACTCCTCCCTTGTCACTGTCCCTCGCCTGGCTCAGATTCTTTGATCAATAATCATTATTTTCACTCCCTTGCACACACCATCAGCTCCATATCTACATCTTCACTTGGCAAAAACCACACCCCTGGCTCACCCTCCACCGACCTGAGGCCTGTAGCCAGCAGCAGGCGTGGCTGGAGAGAAATGTACACGGCTGTGCTGGCTGGGCCACCGCCTCCCCGTAGCATCCACGGACCACCTGCTCCAAAGCCAGGTGTTTTACCAATGGTTTATCATGTGTCCACTCCCGCAGGCAGAATCTTATCTAGTTCCAGCATCACCCACGAGGCCTGGCACACAGTAGGTGCTTAATAAATACCTGCTGGTAAATGGTGTGCTCTGCAACATGTGGACAGGGCACAATCTGTGTGTTTGGGATGGGGAAGGAGGCAAGGCTCATGGTAATGGCCAGGGAGGACTTTGCAGTCCTGGGATGAACCAACCCCCTTTTCTTATTCACAACCAACTTGTTCGAATGTCCTGTGGCCACACCGATCCAAAAAGAGTTATGATACCACCCAAATCTATGACATCTCCATCCTTACAATCTCACTCCTCCACCGCCTCCCACCATGGCCACGCTCTGGACCTGCCTCTCACTCTCTCTCCCCGGGTCTCCTTGCTGGTCCCCAGGCCGCCAGCCTTGTCAGCTAGAATCCAGTTCACCCACGACACACACCCATGGCACCTCCAAAGCTGACTAGTGACACGCCCCTGTTTACAGTACATCAATAGCTTGATAGCTTCCCGTCCCCCGGAAGCAGCGAGGTGGGAAGTCAGCACAGCCTCCAGTAACGTAATATAGGTGCAGACACCGAGACAGGATTCAACCCGTCTGAGGAATGAAGGGGGATGTCTCTGTTTTCACTCTCCCACCTTAACACTGAAGCACAAGTTCACCTCCATCTTTTCAGAGAGAACCAGCTTCAGGGTCTAAGGGCAACCTGGAGAGAGGTTGCAGCGTCCTGTTCAGTAGCCGCTGGCCACAGGTGGCTATTTCATTTGAAGTATGATTAACCAGAACTAAATCAAATTAACGATGTCGCTCCTCAGTCACCAAGCCACATTTTAGGCACTCAGTAGGCACATAGGGCTGGTGGCTGCTGCCAGGTGAGTGCAGACAGAGCGGTCTCTTATTACGGAAGGTTCCAACAGGCCTGAGGCTGGATCTTATTCCCACCATTTTGTGTGCATCGCCGTTAGGGTTGCGGCTGCCTCCTGTTTATGGTATGTGATACTTTAACTTAGGATGGTGAAATTCAATTCCCTTTCAAAAGAAAGTTACTTAGGCAAAAATAAAGTAACTTGATTTAAAGAAAACAATTTTTTTAAATGGGAAAAGTAAATGGAAGCCTGTGGGGCATGCGGAGGCAGACAGAGCTGTGGGGGTTGTGTGAATGACTGGCTTTCGGGGCCCCTGCCCCAGGAGAAAGCCCCCTGCCCACACCATCCACAGCGCCACAGCTCCGGCACCTTCTGCCTCCTCATGCGTCCGCCTCCCGCACACCGATGCTCTCAGGCAGCCTCCTCGAGCCCAGGAGGAGGAATCCTACCCAAATTCCTTCTCTGGCCTCCTCGGCGGCCCCCACAGCAGCTTGTCCAGACCCTGGCCTACAGCAAGGATGGCTCCCTCCCTTCCACTGCCATAGCAGGGCTGTGTCCCCCAGCAGCCCCCGAGCCCTCCAGGGAAGGGTTGAGTTTCTGCCATTCATCCCCGTGTCCCCAGGGCTCAGGGTGGACCTGGGAGTAGAAAGGCACAGGGAATGAATGGCTGAATACATGAAATGAAGCAGCATCCCTTCCATACTCCAGGGCTTTACGGTTCTTCAGAAAGGGCTTCGGCACCCACAGTGTCACGGAATCCTCACAGCAGCCCGGACAGAAAAACCGCAGCAATTACCATCCCCACCCGAGTCCAGCAGGAAGGAGGCGGGGGCTCGAGGAGGGTGGCTGCCACTGTCCCAGGGCTGCAGGGGGCAGGCCAAAGCCAGGGCAAAAGCCCTAGACCAGGCATGGAGGCCCGAGCATGAGCTCCGGCTCTGCCCCTGCTAAATGGGGACTCTGGGCCAATCCCTCATCTCCCCCAGCCTCCACTTCCTCATCTGTGAAATGGGATGATCATCACATTACCACTGTCTCTGAGCACCAAGTGAGACAGCGAACGGCAGGCTGATTTGTAAACTGTACGGTACTGTCTAGGCCACTCAGTGAGCCCCACACCCTCCCCATCTGCAGACCTGCAGCCCCTGCTAGGAGACCGCCTCTCCCCGACATCCAGGGGCTGGGGGCGGAGCTGACTTCCTCCGGCACCAGGGAGAGATACAGGAGTCCGGCCTGACCAATCACAGCAAGGCATTCACCCCCAATGAGAGCCCACAGGGTGCCATCTAGGGTCCTGGTGGGACAGTTCAGAGAGAACTGGTCTCATTTCTCCTGTCCTGTATTCTGGGAAGGTGGGGCGCGAACTACGGGCACCTGCGATTGAAGCCACAGAAGACAGCAGAGGCGATCAGCCCAGAGAGCCATCGCCCATGCTGTTCCAGCCCCTGAAGCCACCTGGCCTGAAGCGCTCTTACAGTTACCCACATCAAACATGCTCGTGCAGCAGGAAGATCTAACCAACCGCGGCTGTGAGCACTGTGGACTGGTGGGGCCCGATGGCCTTTCAGCTTCAATGGAGGGTCAGACAGATGTCCAGCCCAGCCCGCTATGTACAGAGAAATCTGAGCTTCAAGCCTTCAAGGCGGCTCGGGTCCCAATCCTTCCTGGAACCTTTCTGGCCATCCCAATCCAGCCTCCTAGCTCTGGGCACTCCATGCTTTCGGGACAGGGGAAGACAGAGGGACTCTGATGTTTCCTGACACCCACCAAGTGCTGACTTAGTGCTGGGCACATCACACAGAGGGGTTCACTGACGGCACCCCGCAGCTCTGTGAGGAAGGATGATTGAAAACACGGAGGCTCAGAGAGAGACGTCATTCACCCAGGGTCACAGAGCTTGAAGGTGGCAGTCAGACCCAAACAGACTTTCTGCCTCCGAAACCCACACATGTGCCCCGCACCCTCTGGCTGGCTCAGGGGACATTCGACGCTTTGCTCTGCTCCCTTCCTGCTGTTTCCTGAGGGTCTCCCTGCCCAGGGGTCTCTGGCTGTGCCTGGCTCTCAGCCCACAAAAGCCATTTTTTACTCTCTTTCGCCCTTCCCGGACTGCTCCCCGCCTCCCCTGCTCCCCACAGCTATCCTGGCTTCTACTGCTCCGAGGGATGCAGCCCACTGGTGACCGGTGCTGGGTGCCCAGGCTGCCTGGAGTTGGGAGGCATTGGTTACATGGAGGCTCTCAGGAGGGTCTTCCCACCCCTTCCAAGACACACCTGGGCGGCATCCTCCACAAAGGGCAGTGTAGTGTGGAGGTTAGAAGCGGGGAGTCTGGGGCCTGAGGGCCTGGGTTTCAAGCCCAGTTTTGACACTTGCTGGCTGTGAGCTTTGAGCTAGTTAACTTGAGTGCTCTGTGACTCAGTTTCCTCATCTGTAAAGGAGACTTATAACAGTACCTACCTCATAGGGTTGCTGTGAAGATGAAATGAGTTACAATGAATGCGTGTTGATGTTAGTCACAGAGCCTGGCACACAGAGCCTCACTGTATGTTATTATAATTATTATTATCATTGTTTGTATGCAGAATAGTGACATCTCCGCGACCTGCCTGCCTGCCCACCAGCTCCCACTCCCGCCAGCAGGTCAAGCCTTGCCCTGCCTGCAGGCCGGTGCTCATGCCATCACCAGCTCTGTCCTCAGCAGTTGGCAGGAATTGTCAACGCTGCTGCCCCCAGCTTGCCCTGACACAGGAACATCGAGCAGGGGGCTCTCAGGACCCCAACCCAGCTGGGCTTCTGACACCCTGGTTTGCACCCAAAGCCCTGGCTGGGGCCCCAGTGCTGGTCCTCCTAGGCTAACACAGCCTGCTTTGGGCCCCGGTGGGGAGGGCCCCAAAGGGCCTTCAGTGGACGCTGAGCCAGGCCAGCAGTCCCTCGTCCAGAGCAGCTGAACCCTGAACTCTGTCTCCTTCCTGGCCACTGGTGAGGCCCCAGGATGAGGGGGATCATGGCCACCCTGGAGGAGGCAATGGGTTACGTGCAATGCTCAGCAACCGTGATTTTTGTGGTTTTCAGAAACAGACGTGACATATGATTCTGTATCTGGGCCTCACACGCATACTAGGAGCCAGAGGTGCCTCACCGAAGAAGTTAAACAATGCAGCCACCCCCAAACCAGCTGGCTGCCAACCAAACCAAACCCGCCGCCCACCGGAAGCCACCCTGCCTGTGGGAGGCACCGGCCAGGCCACAGTGAAGGATACTGAAGCTCCTGTCGGTGATGGCCAGGTGCCAGAGGTTGATGCGCAGATCATCCGCCGACATGTAGGTCTCGCAGTCACTGTTGACGGAGATGGAGTTGATGTGGTAGGTGTGGCCATTGGCAAAGATCCTCCGAGGGCTCACCTCCACCATCAGGTCCATGGGCTTCAGCACCGGCACCTGCAGAGGATGGGGAGGCAGGGAGGAGGTGAAGGCTAGGCAGCAGCATGAGGACATAGCACGCCGTGGGCACGTGATCCAAACTGGAGGCTGGAACACAGGGGTGGGCGTCCATCCTGATCCTCCGTGGTCTGAAATAGGCAGTGACAGATGGCAAATGCCTGCCACCCACCAGCTCTGCATGAGAGGCATGAAAGCTTACCCGCTGTGGGTCTGTGAATAAGTGTCTGAACCCTCCTATACCCCAATTTCCTTAACTCTAAAATAAAATGGAAAGATAATGTGGCAGAGCCAGCCAATTGTCTACCAAGCCTCCTCACCTCCCTCCTGCAACACAGTGCTGTCACTAGGAAACAGCTGTCTACATGTGGACTACATTTCCCAGCAGGCTTTGCGCCCAGGCATGGTCATGTGACTAGTTCTGACCAATGGGATGTGAGCAAAGTGATGCCTGGCCCTGATACAGTTAAGCAGCGGGAGCAACTCCCCATGGTGGAAGGTGAGGACCCAAGCCTTAGGGACTGAGACTCACGGGATGGGGATGGAAGGAGCCTGCAAGAGAACTGTATCCCAACCAGCACACCCACACTGAACCTTCCCATAGTGAGAAATGCATTTCCAAGCTCAGCCCTGGACTGATGGGGTTGTTTTGTTACAGCGGTGGAATTAGCCTGACTCATACGAACTTTCATCTCAGATGGCTGGTGTGAGGGTCCTTGCCATGGCATCAGACATTGGACTTTCACAGCCCCGAAGGTCCCTCGCACAGCCCTGACCAACCCTGAGGCTGTCATCTGGTCCCATCAGCTTTCCTAGCTAGCGAGGCGTCACCTCTTGCTTGTCTCTCCATCTCTCTGGCACTCAGTCCAAGGCCTAGCAGAGAGGCTCTCCAGTGAATGAGTGAATGTGTGAGTGAATGAATGAATGGGCTGTGTCCCTGAGCTCTCAGGGAACAGCTGAGATGGGAGGTGACAGCCTCGGTGCTGCAGTCAGAGTGACAAGCACTGAGCTCCTTTGGAGCAGAGGCAACTCTGCAGCCCACATTAAATTTTCCCACACACCAGGGCACCCAGCGTGTTTGTGTGTGGGAGTGTGCATGGCTGAGAGTGCATGTATGAGTGTGTGCATATAAGTGTGCATGCATGAAAGAGTATACGTGTATGTGCATGTGTGTGTGTGTGTGTGTGTGAGTGTGTGTGTGCAGCACCGGTGTGAGTGCCAGCCTGGATCTGGGTGGTTTTTGCGTTGCTGCCTCTGTGTCTTTGCTTCTAGGTTGTGTGCCTGGGAGTTGGTGTTAATGTGTCTGGACTCCTCCAAGGCATCCTCCCTGCATGTATTCCTGTGTCAGATATTTTAGGTAAGCTGCTAACCTTCCCTTCCTTCAGGGTGCAGCCACTGCCCACCGTGGGGATCCCTGGACTCTCAGGAGAGACAGGGAGTCCAGCAGCTCTGGAGGAGGGCAGAGCATCAATGGCCCAGCAAAGTCTTGGCATCTCAATCTGCGTTCCCCTTCCTTTTGGCAACGTTGCTTTCTGTTTTCTCTGGGCAGCCTTGGGACCCAATTTGCCCAGTGCTTCAGCCATTCGCTGCCATCCACCAAACCAGATCTCAAAGCCAGTTTTTTAGTAAAGGGAGGAAGAGAGAAAAGAAAACCTTCCCTAAGGTTTGGGGTTTTCATGAGTAAAGCATGCTGCCTCCGCAGAAGCCACAGTCTAGTCAAGGTGAGGGTCAAGGAAGATACAGATACTAAGGACAGACAGTGTTGGATGCAAAAGGCAAGAGTGGATACAGGAAAGATCACACTTTTCATCTGGCCTGTGCAGAAAGGCTTTACAGAGGTGAAGGCCGGCAGGGTTTGATAGGATGTATGGGAGTTCACCAAATTGATCCAGTAAAGAAAGGCCTCCTGGGGTGCCCACGGCCTCTCTGTGTCCCTCTGTCACAGCACTGACCGCCAGTGTGATGATGATTCCACGTCTGTTTCCTTGGGGGCTGGGGACACTTTGGGGACAGGTACCGAGTTGAACCTTGCTCACTTCTAGGGCCCCAAGGGCTAGCCCAGGGTCTAGCGTGGAGCAGCTCCTCAGTAAACAACAGCTGCCTCCAGTGTGAACTGCACAGGGTGGGTAGAACACTGTGCAGGGTTGGCATGGCGTGGGTGAAATCGGAAGCAAACAAGGTGAGAGGCAGGATGAGGACAGACCAGGGCACCCACGTTCTCAGTGACAGTCAAGTGTCTTGGGATGTGTGTGACTTACAGAGAAAAACCTCCAACACTGGGAGCGACATAAACAGGATTTTTATGAAGGCCACTGGCTCTGCCCCAAACACCAGGGCGATCAAGATGTGTCGCTGTATCCCTCCCTCTACATGAAACCCTCATAACCTTTCTTGGGACTGGGGGTGGGGCAGGGGGCACCATCACCCTCATTACTCAACATCGAAGCTAATTGGCTGCCCACTTCCTCAGAATTTATTTGTGCAATTTGCCGGTCATTTAAGCCAATGTATTTAAACATTTGTTTCTTCTTCTCAGGAAGAGCATTGACTACCGCTTTATATTTCTGCAGCTCACTGGATGTTGGGCACGTGGTGTCTGTTTCAGGTATGTCTGTTTCAGGCCTTTGTAGATGCTGCAGGCCTCACATGGTCCAGGCGTCCCTCTGCCCTCAGTAAAGGACTCAGGAGCCACAAAGCTCTGCTAACCCATTCTCCTTCTGCCTCTGCCTACTCACTCAGTTGAGCAGTTTCAGGTGAGTCACTGTCTCTCTCTGGGCCTCAGTTTCCCCCTTCTTATAACAAGAGATCATCTGCCTTACTCTCCACCCTCAGCTGCAGGTGAAAAACACGTTATAGCCATGCACCATCCCTGCATGCTCACAAAATGCCTAGAAGAAACGTGGTCATCTCTATGCTGCTGGTGAGGAAACTGAGGCAAGGGGCAGGGAGATGCCCGTGGCTGCCCAGCAGCCAGCAGCCCAGCCACGGTCTGCACCTGACTCTGGCTCAATCTCAGAAGGCTTTTAGAGCCCTAAAATCCTCAGGTGTAATAAAGAGGCGTGTGCCTGCTTCCTCCTCGCCAGAGCTCACCTGCAGTGATGTCACCGTGGACAGGTCCTTAAGTTTCCCCTCTTCATCCTTCAGGTTGTATCCTTCGGGCCTTTTATCTCGTTCGGTAATCTTCCATAATTTGATAGTTTTATCTTTAAAAACAGAACAAAATAAAACAAGTCACATAATTAACCAGACGGATGGAAGAGAAGATCCACTTTAGGAGGTCATGAGGCACCTCCCAGGAGAGGAGGAGGTTCTGCCAACAGACGGCTTTGGACCAGAACTGCAGCTCTGCCTCGAGGCCTCCAGCCTTTGGCCTCCCTGCAGATTTCAGACCGGCCAGCCTCCACAGTCACGTAAGCCACTTCCTTAAAATAAATCCCCCTTTCTCTTTCCCACTCTCATACCCTACTGATTCTTTTTCTCTGGAGAACGCTGACTAATACAGGAGTTGAAACAAATGGCACCATCTGATGAGAATGAACTGGGAAGAGAATTGGTGTCAGCGGAGCATTTGGAAGGTACCCAAGGCCCTGCCATTAGGAAAGAGTGAAGCCGGGATTCAACACCAGGCTGGGAAGCTTCGAGGGGAGGGGCGTGTAGGGAGTGCTGAAAGATGACCGTTTCTCCAGAGAGGCAGGAAGAAAGTGGCATGTCTTTTTTTGTTTTTCTTTTCTTTTGAGACAGGGTCTCACTCAAATTACTCAGGCTGGAGTGCAGTGGCACCATCTCAGCTCACTGCAGCCTTGCCTTTCCCGGTCTCAGACGATCCTTCCATCTCAGCGTCCTGAGTAGCTGGGACTACAGGCTCTCACCACCTCACCTGGCTAATATTTTTATTTTTTTGGAGAGATAGAGTCTCGCCACATTGCCCAGGCTGGTCTCAAACTCCTGGGCTCAAGTAATCCATCCATCTCGGCCTCCCAAAGTGCTGAGATTACAGGCATGAGCCACCACACCAGCCTGGCACGTCCCTCTTAAATATTTTTAAAAGGGGCAGTTGCATGGGGCTTAGCACTCACCCGAGGCTCCTGTCCCCTGGGGCCTGCCCTTCAGGAGGACCTCTCATGCCCTGCTGGCTCAGGTGACAGATTTGCTGGGCAGGGCCCCTTATGGGACACAGATCCTGCCTTTGGGGTGCCTGGTGGGAGAACACCATCAGAACAGCAGGTGCCCAGAGCGGGGGTGAGCCTGAGTTAAGAGGAGCCAAGGTATCACAGGAGGAATGCCTGGCTCAGCGGAGAGGTCAGAAAAGGCTGGCACTCAGCGAGGCTTATGGGTTGAGGAGGGAGTTGGCCAGGTGCAGGGTAAGGACAGCCTTCAGGCACAGGTGGGCTGGCAGGAACTGAGCCTAGTCAGGTTCAGGAAAGCATCGGAGGCCCCGCTGAGGAGCTTGGACGTCCTCGGGGAAGGCGTGGGGACAGCACCTCGAAGCCTGGCTGGTGCTTGTGCAGCAGTTACTATTCTCAGGGGGTTGAGTGGGCACCATTTCATGGACCCCAGAAGGGAGCTGTGTCCACCCTGCTGAGGCTCAGGAAGGCAAGGCCATTGCCTAAAGGAGGCAGGGCAGGGACAGAATCCAGGTGTGTCCTGGCTGGGCACAGTGTCTCATGCCTGTAATCCAAGCCCTTTGGGAGGCTGAGGCAGGCGGACCAGCTGAGGTCAGGAGTTTGAGATCCACCTGGCCAACATACAGTGAAACTCCATCTCTACTAAAAAATACAAAAATTAGTTGGGCATGGTGGTGGATACCTGTAATCCCAGCTACTTGGGAGGCTGAGGCAGGATAATCGCTTGAACCCGAGAGGCAGAGGTTGCCATGAGCAGAGATCATGCCACTCTACCCCAGCCTGGGTGACAGAGCGAGACTCTGTCTCTCAAAAAAAAAAAAAAAGAAAAGAAAAGAAAAGAAAGAAAGAAAAAGAAAAATAAAGAAAAGAAAAGAATAGAAAAGAATAGAATCCAGGTGTATCCTACCCGACCCCAGGCTGCCTGGGTCAACAGGGGGCCCAGGTGAAGGAGGATGGGCGGGGGGCGTGAGTGGGGGACCCAGGCCCACAGTGAGCCAAGCAGGACAGCCCTTGCCGCTTCCTCAGAGTGCAGCCTGGGAAGCAGGCATCGGGCCAGTCCCCAGAGCCTGAGGGGCACATGCTCCTCCCTGAGGCAGGAAGATTAGGAGGCCAGCCAGGGTCCTAAACCAAGGCTGCTCCCACTGCCCCCCAGGGCCGTGGTGACAGCCCCAGTTTGGGGGTCTGGATTCGGCATGGGGAGGAGGGGTTCGCTTTGTGTCAAGGGTCCTCTGTATCTGCAACCTGCATCCTTGTCCATCACACTCCCTCACCCCAAAGCAAAGGCCTATAAAGATGGCCCGGACGGCTCTTTTCACAGTGGGGGCAGCCCCGTGTCCAGCCATGGGGAGCGTCTGAGGGGGTCTGGCATCCTCACTCATGGGATTTACATGCTGCTTAAAATATTATTTTCTAGGAGTTCTGAAGACACAGAAAAATGCTCACAATATAAGCGAAATACAAACCAGCATTTGGTAGAAACATCTACAGCCCGTGCCCCTGCATGCGAGGCCGGGCGGCGCCTCACCGTTGGTGGACAGGAGCGAGTGGGCGGCGTTCTGCTGCGGGAGCCACTTGATCTTGTTGATCTTCTCCTCTATCTCCAAGCTCTTGAGATAGTCAAACTCTGGCTCATGGCTCTGGAAAGTGCTGTAGACGTCGTACTCGCCCTGGCTGTGGGGCGCATTTTTACTCTGCAGGGAAACCCAGAGAAGGGGCCTGAGCACCGTGACCCGCAGGGCGATGGCTAGGACCTCCGGGGACCCAGCAGGGCCGGCCATGGGACCAGGCGCCCAGCCGTGCCAGGGATCCAATTCGAGGGTCAAATGAAACTCTCTGCAGTTTAAGCAGCCCATGACTCGCAGTGTGCCAGGGACAAGCCCTGCTCCTGCGCGATCCCATGAACACGCACACCCGAGCCAGCTCACTTGCTAATGCGAATGTTCCCCGGCACCTGCTACATGCTGGACACCCCGCTAAGTCGTCCCCGCACCATCGCATTCTACCCTCCAGGTCTCCTCTGCTTGAGCACCATGACTCTCCCCATTTCACAGACCAGCAAACAGAGACTCAGAGGGGAAGTGACTTCCCAGAGCCATGAGGCCACTCACCGGCCAGCACCCCTCTGCTGAGGCCTGCCTGACGCCAAGGCCGAGGCTCTGGCCACCCTCGTGTCTCGGGCCCTGACCTGCTCCTCAATTCCACGTGTCCAACTCAGGCCTAACTTGAGGAATAAATGAATATAGGAGCAGACTTTAACATTGGGACAGAATGTCTGGCAATGTCAGACCTGGATTAGAATCTGTCCCTAGCTTTCCTCAGGAGTGCTCGGCCTGGTTTAGGGAACAGAGCTCTTCCTAATAAAGACCCCTTCACTATGGGGCTCCCAAAATAGTCAGGTGATGAGTCCACTGTGTGTGCCAGGGACCACGTTCCCAGGAGAGAGTTCAAGTTCATACGACAACATGAAACCCCAACCAGCCCAGAACGATTTCAAGACTTCCTGGTTAATTTTTTTTAAGTATCTATTTTTATATTTCTGTCCCTGTCTTGCTTTGGAAAAGCTTCAAAGTTCTCCAATGTTTTTGCCTCCAATTCACTTCGCTTCCCACGAGCACTCGTGATGACAAAGGTCAGTGGGACCAGAAGGAAGAAAACACTAAGGGAGAAAAATTCAAAATGGAGAAAATCGCATCAACCAATCGAATCTCTTTAGGCTGAGCTCGCCGTGCCCGGTGGAACACCTGGTGCAGCTGGTGAAGCCCATGGGTGCTGGCAGAGTGCTGCGTTCGAGGAACTGATTTGCAGCTAGGATGTGCCCCTTGTAAACTATTTCAACCCTCTGCACTCCGGGCTCATCTGTAAAATGAGGGGAATAGCCGCACTGCACTGCACCCACAGGGTCACCGTGAGGAGGGTTATGTAAGCCACCAAGATAAAGTCAGATTCAAGGAGCCTCAGCTCATGGGCCATGCTCAGGAGTGAATGGAGGGAGAGATGGAGGCAGAGATGATTCTGCAGGTCCTCTTTTCGCCCCCGCTTCCTCCCCTCCCTCCTACCTCCCCTTCTCCACCTCCTCTTCTCCTCCTCCCCTCCCCCTCCTCTCCTGCTCCATCCCCTCCTCCCTCCTCCTTGGTTTCCTGGATGTCTTCTGCAGCTAATTCCAGGCACAGTCCATGTTTGCTGGGGGAGACGCCCTTCTCTGAGGCTGGGTGGTGTGTGATGTTGCTGGCCACTGTCCTGGCGTCGGGCAGCCGGGCTTCCATCCCTGGTCTGCTGTTCACTAGCGGGGTGGCTTCTCTGAGTTTCCGCATCTGTCACAGGAGTGTGGATCTGACCCTCGGAGGTGAGCAGCGCAGAGTAAACGAGAAGCAACTCCAGAATACTTAGCAAGTGTTCTCAGTAAATGGGCTTTTGTCCCGAGGCTCTTTCAGTGTTCCAGAAATGTGGTCCTGGGCAGGTTGTCCAGGCCACTGCTGTCTTACCGAGAGTTCTGCTGGACAACAAGCCTCCGGGGGTGGGGGTGAGGACAGGGGTGAGGACAAGGGCCCAGGCCTGAGCAAAAACCACCTAGCCCAGCCTGAGGGCTGTGACAGCTGGGCGAGAGTGGAGTCCTCCCGCTCCCCAGTCTGGCCAGGACAACGCAGGTCACCCAAGCAGAGGAAGGTTTCACTGCAGGCACAAGCTGGGGCAGCAGCTGGCTGTGCCGCGTCCTGACCATTCGTCCGGGGTCTAGGACAGAGCGTGGGACGCAGGGAGCTCTCCGCAAACATCGGCTGAGGGCAGGGGGCTCAGAACCCGGCTTTGCCAGCCCACCAGGTGCACTCCCCCCACCACTGCCCGCCACTCCCCCTTCGGCATTCCAGAGCATCCCATTCCCACCCCTGGAATCCATGCCCCTGGGAGATGCCCCACACCTCCTGTCAGTTAAAAGCCCTCCTTTGGGTTGGAGTATAGTCCCCTACCACCTCTCGCCACACCACCCCTTATCCCCCTTATCCTTATCCTCCTCCCACCATGCCCACCTCCCACCTGACTCTGCTCCCCACTCCTCCCACCTCCCACCAGACCCAGGGCTTCGCACCTCTGGTTCCCGCTGGAAGATGACGACCCGGCCGCCCTTGTCACCTGTGGCCAGCAGCTCTCCCGTGTGGTTGAACTCAACGGTAGAGATGATGTCAGCTGGGAGGGGAACAGCAAGACAGGAAGGGGTGGCTGTCAGAGCCCGCCTCTCCCGGGTGCTCAACAGTACCACAGCAATAGCGAGCTCCCCGCTCCCAGAAGCCCCACAGCCCTGGGCAGGAGGCAGCAGGGAGCCCAAGGGGTCAGAAGCATTGGCAAGGGGCCACTAACCTGTCCCCTCCTGCCCTCCTCTTCCCTCTACACTGGCTGCGGGGCAGAGCTCTCGGGACTTGGCACAGGCCTGGGGTGACCGCAGTGGCCGGCAGACTTTATAGTAACTGGACACTCTGGGACTCATGGTGGTATCTGAAACCACCTGGATGCGGCCTCGTCCTCCTGTCTTGAACTCCCCCACCCCCACCCCTGCCACCCAGGCCCGTGTGTTCCAGCAACCTGGGTCAGGGAAGCCCTTTCCAATATCTCCGTAGACAAGCAAGGCAACCCTCTGCTAGGGGCCCACTCAGGGCTTCCCACACAGTAGGACAGAGGTGAATTACGCCCTCTCCTTCAGACTCCTGCTCTGTGGCCCCACCTCCAGGCAGGCTTCCGGGATCGCTCTCTCATCTGTGCTCGCAGAAGCAGAGCTCAGCCCTGCCTGCCCTGACTCTCCCTGCACTTCATCCCAACCATGTTTCTTCAGGTCGCTCAAGAACCTTTCCTTATGGAGTCACCCCCATACCTGGAGTCTTCGATGCCCAGGGCTGGCCTTCCTGGATGGGCAAGTGTTTGGAGAAAAATGACAGCCCCATCTCCAGGCCCCACTTTTTGCATGTGGGAACTAGAGGAACACCCCCTTCTGTCACCAACATTCTCAGGTTCTAAGAGTCACAGAGATGAGGGGCCCGCACATTCTGGGTGGCCAGCCCTGGGAGTGGGGGACAGCAGGGGAGGACGGGGCCCTGTCCTAGAAGAGGAACCCCCGCTGGGTGACAGCTCACCAGCCTGAAGCCTGAGGCCTGCTCCACCACCAAGTGTGCCTGAAGCCCCCAAATGATTCTGACTTTTCATTTGAAGTCATTCCTAATATTTGAAAAGTAGAAGATTTCCTATAAAAATCCACATTTCCAGTATGTCTTGGAAGATGGAAAGTTCTAGAACACCATCCCCATAGGCCCAAGCAGCAACAGCTAGTAGGAGCCTGGGATAGCCTGCTGCTGTGAATGGGACCTCTGTCGTTCTTTGCTCTCCTGGCCTGGACTCTGTAGGCTCTAAAATCTCTGATACCACCTTTAGCAAAATGGATCTACTTTCAAACAAGCCACAGATCTGACCACTGCTCCCTACAGCCGCAGAGAGGATGCTCCACAGGGCTCCCTGTCCTAGCCTCTGTTCTCCCTATGGCAGTCAACCTGATGGCCGAACTCCTGAGCCAGGACATCCCTGTGTCCCTCTACTCAAAACCCTTCATTTGTCCCCATAACTGAATTCTGATCCCTCCTCAACCTCACCCTCTGCAGCTTCCCCAGTCTCAGGTGATGACAGCTCTATCGTTCACTTGCTCGGGCCCAAGTCTTGGAGTTGTGCTCTCTCTCTCTCTCTCTCTTTCTCTCTCTCTCTCTCTCTCTCACACACACACACACACATCCCCCACATCCCATCCTGCCTGCTCAGCCTTCACAGCATATCAGGATGCCAGCCGCTCTCCCACCTCTCACTGGATGACTGCCACAGCTCTTTCTCCCTGGCCTGGCTACGACGTAGCCTCAACAGACTGGCAGGAGAGAGGCGGGTAACACCCAGGACTGATCCTGGCACTCCCCTGCTCAAAACCCTCCAGCGGCTCCCATTGTATACTCAGAGAAAAGCACTGAGTGTTCTGAAAGCAGCACCCATCCCCCGCGGCCCAGGTGGGCCGCATCCGGAGCCAAACCTTCGTACCTCCCACCATGGGCCAGGTAACCTGTTCTTTGCCCCCCACCTTGATTCTGGGCTTGTCCCTGTGTTTTGCTTTGGCCTGCAGAACGGCAATTCGACAAGCCGCAAGCAGAGATGCAAAGGGGCTTAGGTACTGGGGGGTTGCCATCCGCGCCTCTGGCGGTGCCAGGAGCAGGACCTGCGCAGGCTGGCTGACTGGTCCCTGAGGGGGAGTAGGAAGAGCGGGTGCAGCAGAAGCCCCCATACCCCAGCCTCCAGCTGGGCCCCGCTGACCCACAGAACTGGGCAAGCCCAGCCAAGCCCAGACCACAGAATCGCAGATGCAAGATGATGAAAACGTTTACTGTTGTATGCACGGGGTCTCGTGTTTTTAACTCAGCAAAAGGTACCTCCTCCCCTTCCCCAGCCTCATCTACTGCTCTCCACCTGCTTATTCCCCTCCAAATGCCAGGCTCCTTGTCCTTTCCCAAAAGTCCTGGCCACCTTCTGTCCTAAGACCTGCTCCCTCAGCCTGCAGTGGCTTTCCCGTGGGCACCAGCACAGCTCCTTCCTAGTCTTCCAGTTCTGCCCGACTGCTGCCTTCCTGGTGAGCACAGCTGGGACCACCTTGCTGGAATTGCTGTCTGCACCCCAGCGCCCTCATCCAGGACACCCTGACCATCCCCGCCCCAACCTAGTCTGATGTTTTCCTTCTGTAAAGGCTTTTATCATCTGTTGGCTGTCTTCCCGGCCAGAACGTCAACTCCACGAGGGCAGGAGTCAGGCTTAATTCACGGCTTCAAATGGTGCCTGTACGCAGTAGCCACACCAGAGATATCTATCCAAGAAATGCCTTTTCTTTTTTCAGTCCAGACCTTTTAGGACAGCTCCTGGCCTGCACTGGCCTTCTGAGCCATGAGTCAATGCCAGCTTTGAGGCAACAGAAAGGAGTGAGAGAGGGTGGTTAGAAGTGGGATGACAGGCTGGATATATCCCTCCATCCATCAAGACAGATGCACATGTCATTAAACTTAAAAAGACAAGACAAGAAAAGCAGCTCTGTGGGAACACAGAAACGCCCACCAGGCATGGAGTCAGGAACAGGGTCAGGTGTGCTGACCCCAGCTGTGCTAGCTAGGGTCCCCAGTGGGGCACTCGTTCTTGCTATTTCACATTAAAGCCCCCTGAGGGGGAAGGAATGGGATATAAAATTGAGTATAAAATGCTAGTAATGATCTACATCAATGATCATAACTATGTGAAATAAGGAAAGAAACTGTGTAGAGGGGAAAAAAGCTGCAAGAGAATTCCCCAAAATGTGAACAGAGGTAGCTTTAGGGTAGCTGGAATGAAATACTATTTCCTCTTCTTTCAACTTGTCCATGTTTTCTAGATTTTCTGTAATGAAGTTACATCATTTTTTAATAGCTATATTGAGGTATAACCAATATACAAAAAACTACATATACATAATGTATATAATTTGATGAGGGTGGACATACATATAGTGTATATTATTTTTATGATGGGAACATAACCATGCTATTAAATTAAAATGCCAATAGAACTATTGCTATCCAAAGCAAATGCGGTCCACAAATGCTGAGTGGTTGCCAAGCAACACACACTAATGTCTGTGGGCAATTTACAATTTATTTGTCATTTTCATATCTGCCACCTCCTTTAACCTCACGCCAGCCCCTGCAGGAGACACTACTGTGATTTCCATTTGGCAGCAGAGGAGATAGAGGCTCCCTCCACGAGAGACGACGCCATGAGCTCTTTGCAGACAGAAGTGCTGGCTGGAGTCTTGGCTCCAGTCTCAGCTGTGTGGTCTCGGGTAAGTCACACAAGTTCTCTGAGCCTTGGTTTCATTATCTGTAGTGTGCTTATGGTGGAGCCTTCCCCAGATTAGAGGTTCAAGTGAGACAAGGAGGTGAGAGGGTAAGGGAGGAAGAGAAGACAAGGACTCCGGGAATAATGAATCACCAAAATGTACAGGACAGAAACTAAAGCTCCTGGTCACCTGTGCTCTTGGCTGCCACAGGATTGACAACCACAAGCTCTGCAATGTGGCGATGGATCTGGGGCCCAACCTCACTTGTGGATGGTCCCGCCTACCAGTCCCGCCAGTTGCCCCCTGCAAACATCTACAGAACTACCACCAGACCTCAGATCCCCTCGTGCCCAGGCCAGGGCATTGCTTCCTCTGGCCCATGAAGGAGCTAGTGGATGTTTAACATCTACTCATTTTTACACGTAAATGTCTTCGGGATTTGCCTTAAGAAAAGTTGCCTCCCTTGAATGCCAGAAATTCTCATCAGTAAGGCCATAAAATTAATTGCTTTGGCAGCCACCTCTGTGAAGAAAGTCCATCTTCTCATCTTGGATTATCGGACACATTTCCAGCTCCAATACCACCTCCTCCAGGAAGCCTTCCTGGATAGTCCCCTTTCCCGCCTCCCCCAGTTAAGTGGTCTCTCCTACAACTGCAGTCTTCTATTTTATTCATTTATTTTTTTGAGACAGATTCTCCCAGAGTCACTCCAGAGTCACCCAGGCTGGAGTGCAGTGGCAGAATCTTGGCCCACTACAACCTCCACCTCCTGGGTTCAAGTGCCTCAGCCTCCCAAGTAGCTGGGATTACAGACACCTGCCACCACACCCGGCTAATTTTTGTATTTTTAGTAGAGTTGGGGTTTCACCATGTTGGTCAGGCTGGTCTCAAACTCCTGACCTCAAGTGATCTGCCCGCCTCAGCCTCCCAAAGTGCTGGGATTGCAGACATGAGCCACCGCGCCCAACCTACAACTGCAGTCTTAAGGCCATTGTGTGCCCTTCACAGGGTACTGACACCTCCTGCATGGTACTTACTGTCTGTCTCCACGTTGTCTCTAGCCTTGACCAGAGGAGACGGCGCCACATTGTGGTTGACCACATTAACTCACATTTCTTAAGTGCTTACTGTCTGCCAGGCCCTGCTCTAAATGCTTCTGGTAATAGCCTAGTAGCCCCAGTGCGGCAACTCTCTCACAAATAACTATAGACTATAAACCCTTGACAAAACAACAACAAAACGACACTCTCTGAAGGCAGCAGAGGGCAAGGTTGCAGCGGACGCTGCAGGCGGTCAGCAATTGGGAGGA